TTTTTTTTTTTTTTTTTTTTGACTCAAGTAATTCTTATCTGATGTGTTTGGGATGCCCCAGTTTTACAGTAGTTATGTATGAGTTGTATAAAATGCATCAGTCAGATTCTGACCTGGATATCTCACTTATATTTGTTCATTACAGAGCCAGACCTAGTCAGTGGAGAGCAATGAAGCCAGCTTATAGGCTTGCAGCCCACTCTCAGAGGAAGCAGCCATTCTCAGTCTGAGAGCTGTGGTACAGGTGTGCACAGGATGCCACGGACACTCCTTGGTACAGGAGGAAGAAATTTCCACATTGAGGTAAAAAAAAAAAATGAGGAGGTAGAGCTAACTGGGCAAGTGGAGTGGAAGGTATTACCAGCAGAGAGAAAGGGATAAATACAGTGTTCCCAAGTTTAGTACCTGCACACTGCTTTCATACAACTAAAACGTGGGGCATTTTGGTGTCGGGGTACAGAAAAGCCTCAATATGAAGGGAAGCAAACTGAAATTAGAAGATGTAGGGCTGGGGTAATCACAGTAGAGCTCTTGCCTAGCACACCCTGGGTTCAATCACCAGTACTGCCTTTCAACACCCCCACCCCTGCCAATTAAGAAAACAAAATCAGATGGGAAAACCAAAATGGCGGTGAAACTTGAATGTTAATTTTGCTTTGTTATAATGAGTGGGGGAAGAAATGAATATTGGTATATTTTAAAAAGTGGATTGGAAGGGGTATATTTGGAAGTACAGAGATAATTTTAGGAAGTTTTTGTCAAAACCCAGGAAAAAGCCTGATATGGCCCCAGTTAAGTGACCAGTGTTGGGGGATGAAGAACACTGGAAACGTTTTACAATCATTTAAAAGGTAGGTTCCACAGGACTTGGTAATTGGTTGAAAGGGCACTTACCCGGAACAGTCCCAGATTTCTGGCATTAAACAATCCGTTGTTTTTCACTACCATAAGGAACATCCAGGGAAAGCAGTTGAGGGACACGTGGGGGGCAAAGGGTGAGCCTGACGTTTTGAACGAAGGAAGAGAGAACAATTAGGGAAATTAAGGTCTAGAGTCCAACTGAGAAATAAGAGGCAGCTGATAGCGGGCAACAGCAGTATATTGAATTTCCCTTTAAACCTTGCTGAGTTTGCCTCAACCTCTGCTTTCTCCCCGCCCCCAGACTCTCTTTCGTCTTCTTCGGTGGGCCGTGGGCCGATCTCCAGAATTCTCACCTTTCTCTACCTGCTAGAGTGGAGGGATCAGTGAGCGCGTGCTTCCGTAGTCTAAACTATTGCGTTTACAGAACTGGGTATTTAAAATAATCTTAAGTGGTTATAAACAGTTTCGCGTTTATCAGAATAGCGTACAAAACAAACTGTAATTTGTTCCCCTTTCTCATTTATCCCAGGCAGTGACGGTGTTTCTGCAGCGTTACACCGGTGACCGGTGGTATTGCAGAGTCATCCACAAGGTAAGGTTGCAGACACCGTTTTTTATGCTTTTTGGCATTTGGGCCGGAATTAACGGGGCTTAAGCAAGTCAAATATGTGAAAATACCTTTGTTCTGTGCCACGAACAACCAACCAGAGGCACTTTAAATTGCAGAGGTGCCTGATGAAATAAGATCGTTGCCGTTGTGCAGAGAAATCTGAAGAATTCTGTCCACTCCATAGTTCTTGCTAAAAGGCTCATTGTCTGCTCCCTGAACGCCTTGGGTCTGGGACAGATTTCTCTCTGAACTTCACAGCATGGGTGGAAGAGAGTAATTTGGCCTTTCATTTTCCCTGGCAGCCGGTGCCAGTCCATTTATATGGTATGTTCACAGGAGAGCTGACAAGTGTTGAGAGGTTTTATTTGATATGAATTTTTTTAAAGTAGGAAAAAATTTTCATAAAAATAGGTACTTGTTAGCTAGTTTTCCTACTCAGTCTTACACATCACAATCAAATGCTTCATTAAGGAGCTTCAGCTCAAATACACTAGCTACACTGAATGATCTGTTCTGTATTTTAATATTCATGATGAAACCATACACTACATGGACAGTTTTTAATGATATAAATGCAAAACCACATTATTTTTCCTGTGTAACTTGTAAAAAGCCGTTCCTTCTAAAATGGGGCTGCTTATGCTAATTCGTTGTAGTTAGTGAATTGCAGGCAGCTCTGCAAATTTACTTTTCTTGGCAGTTCTAGAATATCCTGCCATAACACATACTGAAAAAACTGTTTGATGGGTTATGAAAATCTGGATGTACTAAAGGTACATTTTGTGCAAACCATAAAATAAATACATGCTTATGTTTTTTAAAATCTGTTATGGGGTTAAGGAAGTTATCATTGTAACAACCAAAGGAAATTAGGTTTGAGTGGAAGATACACTTTCTATTTGTATGTATTATATATATACATATATATATATATATATGTTTTAGTATCCAATCTTAACTCAGTTTGGCTGGTGTTACTGAAGATGCCGCCCTTCCTACTTGAAGAGCCCTGTATTCCCCTGTAAAACCCACCTGGGGGTAGCTAGCACTCATTATACCAGATGATTTTCTTACTAAAGCCCTCAAAGCCCTCGTTGTCAAAATCATTTGTGCAAAAAGCTTATCGTTATTGTAAATCAAGCTGGCCAGGTACTATTTTTTCAATGATATTGAATTACTGGGTCAATCAATATTAGAGTTACCATCAATATATGATTGTTTCCTTATATGATAAAGGAATTAAGTTTTGGTTCCACACTGTGTTAGCTAGGTCTGACTATGTCTTTGAAAACAATCTTTGAGTTTGAGCTTGTAATTCTAATGGAAAGATGTTGGGAAGAAACAAATGCAGTAATTTGTTCAACAAATATTTATTTCGGGCCTATTATGTGCAAGGCACATTATTCATTCTCTTTGGGTCTGGTGAATACATTGTGGGAAATGGAGAGATTTTATTCCTATCCTTGCATTCTAACCAAGAGACAAAGTAGGATGATGAAATGAGCTTTTTTTTTTTTAAGAGAGCTTTTGAAGTTTAGATTGTGTTTTGGATGAACTGAAATAAAACCTTAATCATCACATTTTTAAAAAAGATTTCTTGTATTTAAGCACAAAAAGGTCAAAGGATCTCAAAAAAGGATTATTGTATAGTTTGGTGAAAATCTTATGGGTAGGAGAATACCCTTTATACTGAATACAACACTTGAAAGAAAGTTTTTTTTTATTACCGCATATTATTAATACAGAAAAATGATGTTCATTTGGGGAAATTGGTACATGCATGTGAATCTGGCTCATTTTCAATCTATTTACCCTCTTCTTGCTTTTGTTCCTCCTTCCAATGCCTAAGAGTTTACCTTTTAGTTGCAGGAATTATTATTATTATTATTACAATTTTGTTTTCAGTTTTTTGAGGCTGGGTCTCACTATGTAGTTGAGACTGACCTGGAACTCAGTATGTAGCCCAGGCTGGTCTTGAACTTATAGCGATCCTCCTGAATGTAAGAACATTCACTGATCAAGGAGCTAACCTCATCACTGGAGAATTTTAATCAATTTGAAGTTTTCATAAGAATATAAGCATGTTAAAATTTTTTATGCTAAAGTTTGCATCTTTATCATGTAAAAAATGTGCATGAGGTTTGAGGTTCATTGGCCATCTTATTTCTTATCTATTTTTCCTTTTTAATATAGAGTATAAAATCCTACTTTTATCCTAAAGTTAAAAATAATTCCTTCAAGCCAGTCGTGGTGGCACACACCTGTAATCAGCATTTGGGAGGTTGAGGCAGGAAGATTGTCTCAAGATGGCCTAGTCTACATAATTCACCTAACCAGTCTCCCATTGATGTATGATTGACTTGTTCCCAGCGAATAACCTTGTGATAATTGTTTAACAGGTTTATCCACAGAGGTAGAACTTCTACCGAAAGGAATAATCACTAATACTTTTACTAGATAATGCCAAAATGCCTTACATGAAGGTTGTATTGATTTGTACATTAGCAATAGGTAAGAATCATTATTTTCCTCTTATTGTAAACCAACATTTAGATTGTTTTTGTATGTGAACGGTAAGAACTTATATCCTGTTCTTTAACTATGTTTCTAAACTTTTCTCTCCTGTTATTTTTTTCTAATTTAAGCCAGCTATTTATATTAGGAGGGCAAGTCTTTCATAAGTAATATGAGTTGCAACTTTTTAATCTCATCATTTCTCTTTTCACTTGCTGCTGATGGCTTTTGCCATGTGAGTTTTATTTTTATGTAGTTGAATTTGTTTAAAATATTTTTTAAATGATTTTTTTATTTGACTCATGGTTGGAAAAGTTACTGTATTCCCAGGTCAGTAAGAGAGTACTGTATTTTTCTGTTAAAGTTTAGGGAGTTTTCAGTGTTTACTTTTAAAATTTTTATCCATTTGAAATTCGTCCTGATATAAAATGTGGGGTTTTTTCCCCTCTTAGAATGGTAGCCAGTTTTGTCAGTATCAAATATTGAACTATCCCTATTCCTACTCCAGCATGATTTGTGATGTGCTTTTTAAATTTATGTTTCTACCAGTAGCTTACTTTCTCCTTTTAGTAGATGTTTGCAATGCATGTTAAGTGCATTCATCATGCAGGAATCTGGGAGATACACAAATAGCATCTTGATCTTTTTACTTCCCCTTTTCCTCCTCTCCATCCTATCTTCCCCTTCCCCAGAGTCTCCCATCTTTTCAAAGAACCAACCCTTTGATTCATTGATCCGTTATTTTTAATTTCTGCTCTGATATTTAAACTTTATCTCTATTAGTTTGAGATTTGGAATGTTCCTGTTTTTCTACAACCTTGAGATGCATGATTAGGTTATTTATTTGGGATGGCTCTGTTCTTGTAGTGTGTACATTCACAGCTCTAAATTTCTCTCATTGTGTCCCATAGGTTGTGCCTTCATTGTCGTTTGAGTCTAGAAACTTTTTAAATGTCTTCCTGTGTCGTTTGAGTCTAGAAACTTTTTAAATGTTTCTTCTGTGATCCATTGATTATTCAATTTTTGCATTAATCTTCATATGTTTGTGTAGTCTCTCTGGCTTCTTTTGCTGTTGATTTCTTGCTTCCTTCCACAGTGATCCAACAGTACGAAGGGTGTGATTCACTTTTTATCTCGCTATCTATTTGGATCAATTTCTGAATTTCTTTTCAGTCCTGAGGGTTGAAACCAGGGCCTTGTAAAACTTGTCCCAGCCCCTTTTAAACATTTTCTGACACAGGGTCTCATGAAGTTTCCCAGGCTGGGCTCAGACTTGCTATTGTCCTGCCTCAGACTCCCATAGTACTGAGGTTACCAGCTTGCACCACCACACCCAGGTTCTTTAGTATTGTTTTACCAAAGTATTTTTACATATTTCAGTTCTTAAAAACGTCCCCATGTAAACTCTGTTTTAGGCTCCTCTTAGGTAACTACAGTGTTTAATTTTTTTTTGAACTTTGCATTAGTTGCTTTCTTGAACATCTTCAGAAGTTTACATGGGATGAAAACTGTTTTTGCAATATTATGTGTTTGCAATATGTGAAGATATTATTTATATCAGAGCTAATTCCACAAAAACTGAAATCTTGTGAAAAGGAAGTACCTATTTCAAGTAAAATTCCCTCAATCAACCTCCGCACACATAGGTAAAGAATTTTTAAATTTTTTTCTTAGCACATGTGTGTAGCACATAGTGTTTTCCTTCCTCCTGGGAAGTTGGTGCATGTGCACAACACATCTTACTTCCCTTTTCCATCCTCTGTACCTCCCTCTCTTCCTTCTCCCTCATCTCTTCATCCCCTTTCCTTTTGAGAAAGATCTATCTTCCTACTGCGTATTATCTTTCTTTTTGCTCTTTATTTTTCATTTGAGTTTTTTTTTATGTAAAAGAAACTATGCCAATATTCAAGCTTATGTGGGTTTGTTTTTAGATGACACATCATGTTTAAAGTGAAATATGGACTGATTGGACAAAGAATTGGGAGAAAGCCTTTGAGTTGCCTTCAAATACTCCAGTGGCATTAGTTAATTCCCACAGAGGAGACTTACTTGCATTTATGACAGGGTGGTTTTGTGGCTTTTATAAAATACTTAAATTGGAAACAATGCTGGCTGGTTATATAATATTTGTAATTGTAAGATTATAGGGAAAGTATGAGGCTTGTAGGTTGCAGATAATGCAAAATTTTTTGAGAGTGGAAAAGGGGAGGAGCAAAGATATATCTGCTTGATTATTTACTTTCTGTGGGGTATACACAGATTATTTCTGGTGCATTTTAACCTGGCAGATTACATAGCCAAGAACACATGATCAAATAGATATCCTTGAGATGCTAGAGTCTCATGAGTCAGTTGTATCAGGCACACAGACTGCATTTCATACTGCATGACTTGCTCATGTTCTATTTCTAACTTTTCTGAATCAAGTAAGGTCTGTTTGGAAAGCTTGAAATTAGTATTCATATAAA